TTCAATAGAAATGCAAAGTTGCCTTTTGCATTTTATTGTGTAGTATCCCAAAACACTACACAATAACACTTGCTGGCGCAGCAGATTAAACTGCTGAGCTGTTGAACTTGCTGACCGAAAAGTTGGCGGTTCAAATCCAGGGAGCGGAGTGAGCTCCCGCTGTTAGCCCCACCTTCTGCCAACATAGCAATTTGAAACCATGCAAATGTGAGTAGATCAGTAGGTACCGCTTCGGCAGGAAGGTAGTAGTGTTCCATTCAGTCATGCTGGCCACATGGCCTTGGAGGTGTCTATGGACAATGCCGGCTCTTTGGTTTAGAGATTGAGATGAGCACCAAGCCTGAGAGTTGGACACGACTAGACTTAATGTCAAGGGGAAACCTTTACCTTTATCTCAAAATAATACCAGACACTGTGACAGTAAAATATGTCTATAGCAAGCCACCCAATACCCTCGAATTGAAAGATATAACTCCCATCATCCTTCGAAAGCACTGCCAGGGGATAATGAGGAATGTAGTCCAACACTTCTAAAGCATGCTAAACTGGGCTAAGCTAATGGATGCTTTGAAGATTGCTGCTGCTTTTATGAATACTTCATTGTCTATCTGAATATATATATTATTTGCTTAAACTGAAATGAATTCTTTCAATAACACTATAAACCAAAACAGTTGTGATGTGTGTTATGTCAGTATTGTTGACTCCGAAAAAATTTTGAAAGCCGTCTTTAGTAGAATCGGTGTTACTAACTGGTGTTAACTTTTATATACACATTCTTACTTTTATTAGTTCTATAACCAGTTGACTGAGAGGATTGTGTTGTCGAAGGCTTTCATGGCCAGAATCACTGGGTTGCTGTGAGTTTTCCGGGCTGTCTGGCCATGTTCCAGAAGCATTCTCTCCTGACATTTCACCCGCATCTATGGCAGGCATCCTCAGAGGTTGTGAGGTCTGTTGGAAACTAGGCAAGTGGGGTTTATATATCTGTGGAATAATATCCAGGGTGGGAGAAAGAACTCTTGTCTGCTAGAGGCACAGGTGAAAGTTGCATTTGGCTACCTTGATTAGCATTGAAAGGCGTTGCAGATTCAAAGACTGGCTGGTTTTCCCCAGGCAGGAAGCAGCCAGGCTCTGAAGCTGCAAGGTTATTCAATGCTAATCAAGGTGGCCAATTGCAGCATTCATACTTGCCTCAAACAGACAAGGATTCTTCCCCCTGCCTTTTTTTTTTTTTTTTTTTTTTTTGAAACCTTGGCCCTTAATAATATGCACAAAGAATAGACGGGATTACTATTAATATATATGTGTCATTTTTATAATTTTATTTTGATAATTTTATGCGGACTGTGAGAGCCGTTCAGCAGTGGAACTCTCTGCCCCGGAGTGCGGTGGAGGATCCTTCTTTGGAGGTTTTTAAACAGAGGCTAGATGGCCATCTGTCAGGCTAGATGGCCATCTGAGACTGTATATCCCTGGCCAAGCTATGGGGCTATTTCTCCCCGGCCAAGCTGTAAATGATGAAGCCTTTTACAGGAGGTTCTGGTTTAAGTCCTGTAAGAAAGACTTCTCTGTGTGGACCGATCTAAAATGGCTCCTATTCTATTCCCTCCAAAACCCAAAAAGGGGGCGGAACTAGGGAACCTAATGATAATTGACAGGTCATTGACCCAATCACTGCAAAGTAAGGAAAGCCATCTAACTGCCAGTGCATAGAACTTTAAAAAACATGCAACACTCAACAAATAGCAAGATAAGCTGGAGCTCCTGGTACAGCCGTACCAGAACATCGTGGATTCCACTTTGTAGCCCCATTTCTTAAGGTTGGCTCTGCATCTCGTGGTGCCAGAGCGCAGTCTGTTCAGCGCCTTCCAAGTCGCCCAGTCTTCCGTGTGCCCAGGGGGGAGTCTCTCATTGGGTATCAGCCATGGATTGAGGTTCTGGGTTTGAGCCTGCCACTTTTGGACTCTCGCTTGCTGTGGTGTTCCAGCGAGTGTCTCTGTAGATCTTAGAAAACTATTTCTTGATTTAAGTTGTTGATGTGCTGGCTGATACCCAAACAAGGGATGGGCTGGAGATGTCACTGCCTTGGTTCTTTCACTATTGGCTGCTACTTCCCGGCGGATGTCAGGTGGTGCAATACCAGCTAAACAGTGTAATTTCTGCCATAGATGTGGGCGAAATGTCAGGAGAGAATGCTTCTGGAACATGGCCATACAGCCCGGAAAACTCACAGCAACGCAAGCAAACATTCTCACAAAAATATTCATACCCAATTTTCCATTGCTTCCGTTTTTATTTTCTTTGGAAAATCCTTAAAACAAACAGGCAAAGAAAACCCCAAAATAAAGAATAGCTAGAGCAGAACCGAAAAGGAATTCTGAAGGGGTTCACAGCGAGACTCTGTGAAAGGGACCTTGAGGTTTCCAGATTTGCCACCTTTCAATGTGTGCCCTCTTGTTCTTTTCTCCTCCCACACTTTATCACATCAGAGAACAAACAGAAGCACCCTGGGTGTGTTCCTAAGAGGGAAAGGGTCATATCGTTTCCCAGAAAGCCATAATGGCAAAATGAGTTGGGAATACACCAAAGGATTTGTCTCACTACCTCGCCAGGAGCAAACACCAACTGCTGGGACCAAATTAATAATAGATGCGGGAACTGACAGAGCAAAGGCATAAAAGGGGAATTTAATTTAAGTGGTAGACCATAAAGTAATACACTTTGTTCCAGGCTTATAGAGGTGGGGAGGGGAGAACTGGGTTCCATTATTTAGCCAAAGCATCTCCCTGCGGAAATACTGAAGGTTATCTATATAAATAAAAATGTAATGTTCGTTTGTGGGATTAAATTGTGGGTTGAATTGCCACGAAATTTGGCCACAAGACACCTAACAACCCAAGGAGTGACCATCACTCAAAAAAAATTGTTATTTGGGAGTTGTAGTTGCTGGGATTTATAGTTCATCTACAATCAAAGAGCATTCTGAACTCCACCCATGATGGAATTGAACCAAATGTGGCACACAGGACTCCCATGACCAACAGAAAACACTAGAAGGGTTTGGTTTGCAGTGACCTTGAGTTTGGGAGTTGTAGTTCACCTACATCCAGAGCGCACTTTGGACACAAACAATGGTGGAGCTGGACCAAACCTGGCACAAATATTCCATTCCCAAATATGAGCACAGATGAAGTTTTGAGGAAATAGACCTTGACATTTGGGAGTTGTAGTCACTGGGATTTATAGTTCACCTATAATCAAAGAGCATTCTGAACCCCACCAATGACTGAATTGGGATGAACTTCCCACACAGAACCCCCATGACCAACAGAAAATACTCAAGGCCATCCAGTCCAACTCCCTTCACCAGGGCAAGAAAACATAATCAAAGCCCTCCTGAAAAAGAGCCATCCAGCCATAGATAGAGATAGATATATATGATTCACACACACATAAAGTATTAAATATTTGAAAGGGACTCCTAAAGATGGACAATTATATGTTGCATGTTCCAGAGTACACAAACTCAAGGTCAATACCCACCAAACCCTTCCAGTATTTTCTGTTGGTCATGGGAGTTCCATGTGCTGAGTTTGGTTCAATTTCATCGTTGGTGGAGTTCAGAATGATGATGATGATGATGATGATATAATTATAATTATAATAATTATTATAATAATTCAACAAATGGTAGAAGAAGAGAAACATGCGCTGGCAGATTATGTGAAAGGCAGTCAAGAACCAACATTGAGGGAAGTCAATAGTAGTAAACTGCTTCAAGTGCAAAAGGCAAAGAGGGAAGACCGTAAAAACACAATCCAGAGCAGAAGAGAAAACTGGCGAAAGAAGGCTCTCCATGGACAGTTCCTGGGGAAAATGGAGAGCCAAATTGACAAGGACAAAACATGGCTGTGGCTCACAAACTGAACTTTGAAAAAGGAGACAAAGGAGGGCCTGATTCTGGCAGCCCAAGAACAAGCCATCAGAACCAAGGCCATCAAAGCCAGAATTGAAAAGTCGACAACAGATCCCAAATGTAGACTCTGCAAGGAAGCAGATGAAACAATAGATCACATCCTCAGCTGCTGCAAGAAGATCACACAGACAGACTGCAAGCAGAGGCACAACACCGTTGCTCAGATGATTCATTGGAACTTGTGCCACAAATACCATCTGCCTGCGACCAAGAACTGGTGGGTTGACAAGCCAGAAAAAGTTACAGAAAATGAACATATCAAGCTACTCTGGGACTTCCGAATTCAGATAGAGTTCTGTAGCACAATACTCCTGACCTCATGAACATGTTAAAAAACAAAATATGCATCATCCATGTTGCGATCCCAGGTGACAGCAGGATTGAAAAGAAACAACTGGAAAAGATGACACGATACGAGGATTTAAAGATTGAACTGCAAAGACTCTGGCGCAAACCAGTCAAGG